CCAACTCTGTGTGGACCAGTGGCTCGCCATGAGCAAGAAATGCCCCCATCTGCCGGGTGGACATTGAGACACAACTGGGAGCTGACAGCTGAGGAAGGAATTAGCCAGTGGATGCCCCATTTTCCTTCACCAGGTCCCCCCACGGCCATAGCCCTTGCAGCCAAACTTTGCCTTCTGAGCCATTTGACGTAGAGGAAAAGCCTGCAAGCACATTTTGTGGAAAGAGGAGTTGGTGGTATCTGTGTCCGAGGGAAAGGAAGGGTGGGGGAGGAGCCACCCATCCAGAATGGTGACTGTCCCCATCTGCCTCGCTGCGCGGGAGGGAGGGAGCTGGCCGTGCCCAGAGCAGGGGTGAGAAGGGGGGGCCCATGCTGCTGAGAATCTGGACGTGATCCTGAAGGTCCTAGCTGATAGACCGGCCCCTCAATCCTGCCCTTTGAAGGATTGTATATATACCTCTCGACCACGTAGAAACCATGTAGGGGTCTCTAGCTATTTCTGTGGATGGCAGCCAGAGCATGTTAGCTTAAGAAAAATGTTGTGTGTGGTGCTCTAGTCATCTTGTGGTGGACATGTCGCTATTACCGAATTCGCACCAAATATTTCTCATTGAGTTTCTTGTTTTGGTGCCTGACCGAAGCAACCAACGACAGCCCAAATCTTCCCATCTTTAAGAGAGAAATGGGAAAAGGAATCAGAAATGAAAAAAAAAAAAAGCCAAATCCTGTTTACGATGAAAAAAGGATAATTTTTTTCACCCAGGTTGGGAAGCAGGGAGGGGGATGGGGGTGTCCTTGTTTTGTTTTCCATTTTGGTTTTTCCCTTTGCTTTGTTTTTTTCTCATGTTTACAATGCATGGAGCATGGAAGGGGCCATCTGGGAACGGGGAGGACTGGAGAAGGAGCAGATGGGGGTCTTAGATGGGCCTTTGAGGGGCTCAGCCGGGGTTGGGAAGGCAGAGGTTGAATAGGTAAGAGAAGAATTCTGTCTTGAAGGAGGGATCCCCAGCTCCAGAGCCCATCCACTGAGCTCCAGCCATCCCCCCGGTTCCACACTGAACCAGGGAGGGGCCAGCCTTCAACTAAAGTAGCCACCAGGTTCCTCAGAGCCAGGATACCCCTGATCAGGCCAACTTCCTCCTTTCAGCCTGCGTATGCCCTGTCACAAAGAGGCAATTTGGCCACTGCCTCCCTATGCAAAAAATTAACCAGATGATGAAGCTAAGATAGCATAGGTGATGGATACTTGGTCCTGGCCAAAGTGCTCTCAGCTAGCACTCAAGGGCTGAGGCCAAATACTGTGGACCTTGAGGAGGACTTTGAACTTCCTTAGGGATGGCTCAAATCTTGATGGAGACCCTTGGAGAAGGCCCTGGGCTGAGACCCTGCTGGCTGGGTTTGGGAGGCACTGTGTCCCTAGCCTCTGGCTCTTTCTCTGACTCTTTGATAACGTTGGGTAAGCCCCTTTCCTTCTCTGTGCCTCAGTTTCCTTCTCCTTAGAGTGGGGAGAACAACAGTGCATCTCCATTTCCACTTCTCTACCTCACCTAGCTGTTGTGAGGATTAATACTATCTGCCCACACATTGACGCTCTCTCTTGGGAACCTCCTTGGGGTGGAGGGATGGGGGCGGTAGGAGAGGCAGACCTGAAGTTCCAGGTGACACCATATCGTGTGTCTTTCTCCACCACTCCGCAGTTTTTCTGGACCTCAAGGAGAGCAGAGACATGGGAGAACAGAGGGATGGAGATGGGAAAATCTACCAAATTCCACCAAATCCACCAACCCCAACCCAACTTTCTTTATCTATAAGAGGAAACCCCCAGCTCAGCTGGGATTCTGCCCTCTTCCTTTACCCCTCCCCTCCTCCTCCCCCTCATTTGCACTGCCCTCAAAGGCCTGCCCCCCACCCAAGTCTCAATGCCCTTATATCAATAAGAGAAGACTAGGGGGTCCAGGATATTTATCACATATATGAAGGAATTCCATAAGGTTAAGGAAATTGAGTCTGCATTGCTGCTACAAAGGGTAAAACCAGGACCAATGGGTAAAAATGACTGGGAGGCAGATTTTGGCTTGAGGTGGAACCTTCTAGCACAATGGGAACTGTCAGGTGGAGGGTTGGCCACTCTGGACACCTACAGGCAGAGTCGGGGAGGTGGCTTCTGGTGGGAGGTTGACAAGGATGTTCCTCAGGCTAAGCCATCTTTCCTGAGCGCCTGCCAGTGCAGGTGTTGGGACAGGCGATAGCAAAGAAGATGATGAGCTCCTCTGGGAGCTTACACTGTAGCTGAGGAGCTAAGACACAAAGAATAGTGCAAAAATGGTGAATAGTCTGATTCTGGGTTAATGGCAATGAGCATGACCTTATCCCCTTCACTGATTCCAGTGTGGGAACAGTGTCTCTAGGGCTAAAGGTGGAGACCCCGACAAAGTGGAAAGTACTTCCGAGGCAGAATTTTGGGGAAAGCTAGTTACTAGTTCCCTCTGGAAGTTGGGAATTCTCCCCAGCCTGCTTTGACCCCCAGGTAGCCAGGGTGGTCTAGGGAAGGTCACTCCCCTCATAGTCTTGGGCTCTTGTTCTCTCTAAGGCCAGTTTGAAAGGCCAGTAGGTAGAGGGAGTCAGTGGGAAGGCCAGATGGAGTGAGAGCTGGAGTCCTGGGTTCCGTCTTGGCTCTTCACTGACAAAGTGGGTAGTGCTAGAAACCGGCCTTCCTCTCTCTGGGCCTCAGTTTCCTCTGCTGCCACGCGAGGAGGTTGGATTAGATGCTTGCTAAATTTCCTTCCAACACTCACATTCTCTGATCCTCCCTGACATTAATACATCATTCAAGTCATTAGAGCTGTGTGCCAACTGAGCTGTTGGAATGACTTGCTGTGGGCACCGATGTCTGTTTCAGAGACTGAGAGTGGGATGTAGTCTCCTCCTCCTCCCAGTTGTCTGCAGGCTCCCGAGTGCCCCAGCCTAACTTTAGGCATTGCCTGGGGTAGGTGGGGATCACCTGAAGGGAAAAGGTCAGCACTAGCTTTGGGAATAGAGCCTAAAGCCGCTGTCCCCTCATCTCTTACCCTGCAGGTGGGCACAGGAGGTGACAGGGTCCCAGGCACCTCCCAGCTCCTTTATCGGGGCAGCTGTCTGGCCAACAAGGGAGGACAGGGTGTCTGTGCTTCTGCTCCTCGAGGCCCCTTCCCCCTTGGTCCAGGAGCCAGGAAAAGTGGAGAAGAGGCAGGCTCAGGCATCAGCATCTCACACCCACCACCTCCAGGAGGAGACCCCCTGTCCTCCTCCTTCTGCTCAACTCAAGGGACTCAGACCCTTTCTTGACTGAGACGCATGAGTGCCTTCTGGGGCAAGAGCTGCCCCAGGATCAAGTTGGGCCTCCTAGCCACAGTGCAGCCCTGGCCGCAGTGGGTCCACCGAGGACACCCATCTCGAAACCAACACCACGGCCTGGCCTGTGCGGACAGAGGATGGGCCATGGGGCTCCTCCACTTGCCGGGACCCCCCTTGGGCCCTGCAGCCCTCGCCTACCACCTGTGGCGGGACCCTAGCTCCTCTTCTGCAAATGTTCCCAGCCTCCGTGCAAGTATTCTTAACCCTTTACGCCTAATGAACAAGCACAGTTTTTTCAATGGTGAAGAAAAAGCACCAGATTTTTTTTTCCTGAAGAAATCCCCCAAACCCCCCCGCCGGCCGGCGGGACACACACTCCCCGCGTGGGGCTGTAGCAACGTCTGTCAGGTCGCCCCCCTCCCCTCGTGTTTCATCTCCTGCGCGCGCATAGAGCAAATGCTAGAGCGATTTCAGCTGATAGAAAAACAAAAATGAAAAACAAAAAACAAAAAACATGGCACGTTGCTAGTTTACAGGGTTTTGTGAGTTTAAATGCCTTATATTTAACAATCATAATTTATGACTAACTTGTAGATATCGTGGGTTCTTATTTAATTATTTTTATAGTTGTTTTGCATTTTTAATTATAATTTATTTATTTAGAAAGGATACTAATTTTTTTTATTACTCCTATTACCTCATTTTGCCGTTGTTTCTGGGAGTGGAATGCTTTGCATGCATTGGTACGATGACAAACAACTACGAATACAAAAAAAAAATTTTAAATAAAATTCCGCGAACTTTATTTCGTCCAAATATCAGGGTGTGTGATTGCAAGCTGTCCTACTGTGGTGCTGGCCTCTTTGGATACATTCCATATGAAATGCAAACCTTTGATTCTGTATGCTGTGATCTAGTGAAAAACTCCAATATAGTGACTGTATTTAGCACATATATTAATATAATTTGCACTTGTCAGCAGACTGGGATAATCCTTTCACTTGCTACCCTTGTCCCCCTAACTCCTCATCACTAACCTGTCTTCCCTTCTTCCCTTGCCCTTCCCATGCCTCAGCCCACCCTGCCTCCATCTTCTGAGGAAGCTCTGGGGGCACTGGAGGTCACTCTCTCCACCTGGGCTACAAATCCCTCTGGTTCCAGAATGTTCCCCTTGGACATGACCAGCAGGAGCCTGGTTTATTAGAATGAACCCTGGCCTGGAGATTAGGAGGCTCGGGTTTTCAGACCAGCTCTATTGTAACCTTCTCTGTGACCTTGAACAAATCCCTTGGCCTCTCTGTGTCTCAGTTTTCTGGGTTTGGGGGTGGGGGGCTGGAGGTGAGCTGGAGGGTCTCCAGGGTCCCTGGGACTCAGAGAGAATGACACAGATCTGGTGGGAGACTACCATGCTGTGTTAAGTCACCCTCTCAGGAGTGAAGAAAGGAAGGAAGGAAAGAAGAGGAGAGGAATAGAGTAGACAGAGAATGTACCCAGTGGATTTGCTCAAAGGAGATATCCGGAGGGTTTCTGTCCTTTTATATGCAGCGTCCTGGGGTGACGGGGAGGCAGGACACTGGATACGGGGCATGTGCTTTCACAAGGCTTGGCGGTCACTTGGAAAGTGAGCTGAAATCCATGTCTTGTTAGTTACAGGGATGGGGTGAGCCCCAAACTATGGTGTTTAGAATTGGCACCCCATCCTAGCATCTCTTGGAGACTTTATTGTTGAGGCATCACCCTTGACAACAGATTGGGATGCA